GGGGGAGCGTTGATCAGATGATGATGAAGCTAGATTATTGATTGCGAGTATCTTGAATACAACACACACACACACATCGATGGCTGGGGTTTCGACTATGCGAGCTTATATATGTAAGGGTTTGCATGCTAAATCTAGCTACATTGTAGAGGCATCGATGACGAAGAACGAATTCCATTGGAAGTGGAGAGGAAATTCGGTAAGACTTGGAATCTAGTCGAGGCAAGATGTGAGAGAACAAAGATAGGATTTCTATCTTAGGTACTACAATGAGTATAATCACATGAATTTCCCTGAGGAAGTAAATGTGTGTGTCTGTGTCTGTGTGTGAAACAAGTTGAGGACGGGGTTGAAATGAGGGAAAGTCAGAGATGTAGGAAAGCGTGCACATGATGTAGAATCGTTCACAGTGTTGGAGCCAATCTAAGGATTTATGATTTACGAGTACAAGTAAGTCTGGGTGGGGGGGGGGTGTCTGCGTTGTACGCTGTGATACTACCCAAGCTCTCGGAGTTGGCTTTGTCCAATCAGTTGCAAACAGCAAGGCAGCAGCAGCCTAGTCCCAGATAAGCCAATGGCTATTAGTGTGGTAAATCACATTCGGTAATGACTGTAGTTGGTGATGAATCACATTCACTGTGTCATAGCGCCATAGATCATAGATCCATCTTATTCACAGTTCCAGATTTTCCAAATGGGTTTCTAAGACTTTAGGGCACGATAAACCTTACGGCAGTCCACATCGACGAAGAGGTTTTTCTTTGGGAACCCTAACCGGAGCCTTTGACTCAAAAGTCAGACCCACAAAGCATTGGGGTGTAGATCCAACGCGGAAGCGCGACCGAAGCACCTGTGTGGTAACTTCTAGAACCCTGTAACGCAAGGTCTTTGGGTTTCGGTTAAGTGTATTGTTCGCTGGTGCATTGATTGACGGTCCGCTTATTCCCCGATTAGATGAGCCTTTCCCCTATTGGATACCTGGGGTCGTGCTCATTAGCCTACAGCTCTGCTCTTCCGAATCTTTATCTCTCTTGCAAAAGTAACTTTTCCGTCATATTCCATTGAGCCAACATATCACTCGTTTGTTTTAAAATAGGATTACCAAACCATCGCCATTTTGTCACCTGTTCCAATGCACATCTATCAACACAAAAATCATTTAAGGACAAGTCACATACAGTTTTTACTGTTATTTTTTTGGTTCCCGTCCGGAAGAAGTGGCTGATTTTCAAACAATCGTACAAAATCTACTAAGCATGCTCAATTCGGTTGCGGAGACTGTGGAAAAACAGAAGCTACGCGCGATTGTTTCTCGTAATCTGGTCGTGTCGATGGAGAAACGACGTCAAGTGGAACAGCAACAATTAGAATTGGCCATTGAGAAGCAGAAGAGCGAGAATGAAAGGTAAGACGCGGGGACAAATTTGCCTTGGTCCGTCTACTGGTATCTCGTTCTGTTCGATCTCTTCAACCCCGGAAGCTTATCGTGTGTGNGTGTGTGTGTGTGTGTGTACGTAGGGACAAATTTTCCCTAATCTATCACACTCAAGAGGAACACGGAACCGATTACCTGCGGAAACAGTTTATAGCTGAGTTGAAACATATTTGACGGATAAAATAAGAGCAGGTACATAGCGTAATCAAAGCAAGATTGGCGTTTGCTGATTTGCGGCAGCTCCGGCCCTGGTAAGGTATGTCCTTTCACTGAAAGGGTGTGTATTGTGCCGTGTTGCTCTGTGGTTGCGAAACGTGATCTCTCCGAGCAGATCATGTTCGACGATCATCTGTCTTTGACAACCGTTGTCTACGCAACATCACCCACGTATGGGTTGAGCATGGTGTGAATAACGATGAAGTCAGACGACATTTGTTAGGGTCAGATAGTCTTCCCTTAGACAGAACAATTTCACTGCATTGTCTTAGGCGGCTAGAGCATGCCCGACGAATGCCTGAAGAACGTCTACGAAACCACTACTCTACTTGTAAACATTGGTCCGGGCTTGAAGAAACAATAAATTGAGCAGGCTATGACATAGCATACGGGGTTAAGGAGATTGTGCTCGAATTTGGTCTCTGTCGGGGTTTTTCCAGCTCCCCGAATGGGGCCCTAAATATTCAAATAGTCTCTGACTGGACACATTATGGGGTATGACATCGAACTGAAGTCAGTGGCGTGAATACATCCTTTTCTGTGTACAATTATCAAAAGAAAACGAAAACATTACTCAAGATGACTACTTCCATGGTGTTATTACCCAACGATAGAACAGGAACGGGTTCCTGTCAATCTTGCAACAGCACTTTGCACTTTGAAGGTGCAAAGGACATACCATAGCGAGTAACCTCAACTGCCAAACGATTCAACGACTCCTGAATCGTTGGTGCGTTATCACCGAGTAAGGCAATATTATCAGCATACTCTGAGTCCAGGACGAAGGTAGACTCCAGCGTTCGTTACGTTTTGTAGAACATCTTCTGTGGCAAATTTGAAGAGAAACGGGCAACCATGTTGCACCCCACTGGTGACAGGAAATGAGAGTGAAAGTTCACCATAGGCCCTAACCTTCCCCGAGGTCTGATGATAGAGCGCTTTTAGGAGCGAAACTTCTCGGACACTCCGTATCCGTGCGAGCAGTTTGCAGTCAGAGTGTATAGTGTGAGGAATTCTCTTTCATTCCATGTAGTAAGTGTTCCTACAGTTGAACTATTTAAATCGCAACCTGATAAAGCATTGTAACACTTAACATATCAACATCCGTGAGTGATCACACACATTATTATCATTGTTATTTTCTCTTTGTAAAGTTTTTCAAAACATTCTGTAAAAATCCTATGGGACATGATAAGCTTTAGCTTTGTTAAATCGCCCATAATAAAACGTCGACTTTGACTTTGAGTTCCACAGTGCGAGGCGATCGATAGAGTCGAAGGCCGCTCTGATGCATAGCTGTGTTCTAGTAGCTGACGGAGGATGAAAATTTGATCTATGCAACTATGGCGTGCACGAAACCCGGTCTGCTCCTCGCAGATTTGCCTAACGGGAAATAGGCTTTATCTGTCTAATAAAATGGACGCTATTGGAATCAGACTTATGCCCCTGTTGGTAGAACAGTCGTTGCGAAAGCCCTTCTTGTAGGTGGTTGTAACAATCGATTATCCCTATGTATGGGGTACACTTTCAGTTTCCCAGATTTTCGAGAACAGTCTCACGAGAGCTTCTCCATCGTCTTTAAAAAGGGCAGGTGGTAGGCCGTCTGATCCAGCTGCCTTGTGGCGTTTCAGAGGGCTTGGAGTTCCTTTCGGATCTCCACTTCTGTGGGTGGTTCCGTGGATAGTGCCCAGGTTGCACTCTCAAGAGAACTGCTTGAGGCAGCCAGCGCGGGGGGGGGGGGGGGNGTTGGTTGAACTGTGATATCGCAATGAAAGTAGAGGTTTCGATTCCTCGATGTGCTACTGTGAGCATAACAGATGATGATTTCAGTGATCTACATTTTCAGAGCCAGGAGACATAAGTCGGTCGAGAACACAAATTCTCAGTTTTTTCTATAGGTCTGAAAAAAATCTTGCTTGGAAAGCTAATTAATTCGACCCACCATAGATTCAACAGGATAGTGTTACCTTCATAATGAATTTTCTTCGGAGCAACGGTTATCTGAACGATTTCGCTTTGGGAATTCATTGTCCGGAAATCGGGAAAATTTAAGGTCATAATAGCGGAAAAAAACTGGCAAGTAATTAACTTCGCTTTCTAAGTTACGTAACAGAAATCCTTACTGGGGTGTCTCAAACCAGCGGAATTATATGTGTTCATTCAAGCGCTTTCCTTGGATAAACGTACAGTGTAAGTGTATATTGCTGACGCCAAGGGAGTATATTCATGCAATTGTATCTGTTAAATCCAAATGACTATCCAGGCCAACGTTGAGTGACGCGCAACCTCAGAAGCCAAGTCCAAGTTTTCTAGAGGTTTATTCGACTCCAACAATAGCGAATAAGTATGCGGTACTGTAAATATTAAGCGTCACAATTACATAAACAACACACCTCAAATCGTGGCGTTCCCAGGGGGTATGCCTGAATCGGCGAAATTAACAATGCCAATCGATAACCAAGAT